GTGGTGGGGAGCCTTAGCAAGGTTCTCGAGTGGAAAAGGGACAACACAAGTCTTCATAGGAAAGGTCCCCCAGGGCTGGCGAGGACAGAATGAGGGCGTATTGTGAAGGTCTGCGCCATAGATCTCAGGCCTAGACTGTGTCGAGAAGGTGACACAAGGAAGTGAGTGTCCATCGGGGGGGGGGGGGTGTGGAAGCACGATGGATGGGCCTTGGTGGCTGAAGGGTTGCGGGGAGCAGGGCATGGGGCCGGGGTTAGGGACAGCCGCTCAAGCTAGGGTGGATGGAGGAGCCAGCCCTGACTACAGGGAATAGAAATCTGTGGGGACCCCAGGAACAGAGAAGGCTATGGGCTGGGGGTCTGGAGGCCCACCCTGCTGTTACCAAAGAGGAGATTGAATTGCAGAGGGACAGGTCCCAGCACCTACACCACTCAGAGGAAGAGAGATGAGGATGAGACCTCCTGCCTCCTTAAGATGCCACATGGTAGGGAGGCCGGGAGGTGCTCTTCTAGTGTAGAGGTGTCCTAAGAGGACGAGCATGTGCTAGTGCGTGTCGTGTGACAAAAATGGTAGCGCACTGTACGTATTCTGCAGGCTGGTTTTTTCCTCTGTAGTATGTCATGAACTTACATTTCCAAAGTCACCGCACAGTGGAGAGTCCCACATACTAGTTGATGGATGCTTCAGTGGTTTCCAGTTTCTTCTTCGCAGTTCTGATACTTTGCAGGTCACGGGTAGATCTTGAGGAGTGAGTAATTGACCCTCCACGGCCCTCCCAGCACAGCAGCCCAGTGTCTAGGGCCCCTGTCACGCCAAGCTTGCTCACCTCACCCTGTTCTCTGCCCCAGGCCCTTAGGCCAGGCCCTTCATTTCCTCCCCAGGCCCCCGAGCCTCTGAGCTCCTTGAAGTCCATGGCAGAGCGGGCAGCCATCAGCTCTGGCATTGAGGACCCTGTGCCAACGCTACACCTGACTGAGCGAGGTGAGGGTCCCAGGGTGGTGGGGAAGGGGAAGGCCGAAGAGGAAGAGCTGGCCCGTCCCATCCTCACCTCCGAGGGGGCCCGGCCCTGCCGCTCCCCACAGACATCATCCTGAGCAGCACGTCAGCACCTCCGGCCTCCGCCCAGCCGCCCCTGCAGCTGTCAGAGGTGAACATACCGCTGTCACTGGGCGTGTGTCCCCTGGGCCCTGTACCTCTCACCAAGGAGCAGCTCTACCAGCAGGCCATGGAAGAGGCCGCCTGGCACCACATGCCCCACCCCTCTGACTCCGAGCGGATCCGGTGAGGGGCCACAGAAAGGGGGGTGCGGGCCAGCACTCCTGGGTCTGAGGGCGAGCGTCTGAATGCTCTCTTGAGATCAGGACAGGAGCTGTAGGCAGCTGGCACTGACCCTCTTCTTGCTCCCACAGGCAGTACCTCCCCCGGAACCCCTGTCCGACGCCCCCCTACCACCACCAGATGCCACCCCCACACTCGGACACCGTGGAGTTCTACCAGCGCCTGTCAACCGAGACGCTCTTCTTCATCTTCTACTATCTGGAGGTACAGCAGGGCCCCCGGGGCAGCCTCGGGCCCCCCGGCTTCGCCGCCACCGCCGCCGTCCCCCCTCGGGCTGGAGGGGTGAGGTGGGTGCCCCACTGCGGCCACTGGGACCGCACCCTCTCCCTATCCCCAGTCCTGGGCCCCGCCCCCCCAAACCAGTCTATTCCCACTTCCAGCCCAGAGGTGTTAGAACTGCTTGGGTTGAGGGCGAGGCTGGTCCACTGAGGCAAGCCCCAGCCCTGCTTCCGTTTGCTCACCGGCAAGGCCCAGCTCCCTTCCCCGCCCCGCTAGCCAGGCTCCTTCAGTCTAGGCCATCCACCCTCTCTGCCCATCGGCACCTTCTCAGGCCTCCCTGGAGACCGCTAGGGAACTGCCGACCTTCTGACCCCAGTGAGTCACAAGGAACCACCCTCATCCCCACTTGAGAAATCTGTATTGCCTCCTTTCTCAGCTCTCATCACACATTAGTTTCTCTTCCTTCTCAAAGCTTCTCTGAAAGCAATTTTCACCTCCTGTCTCATTTTCCTTCTCCTGAGCAGCACTGGTATGTTCTGTGCCCCCAGCCCCTTCTCCAAGTGATTTTCCAGCCCGGCCGTGGTCTGTGGCGGGGGCCCCGGTTCAGCCCTGATGCCCTGCCCTGTCCCCCAGTTCCCCACCTGGTTTGGGGGTCCCCTGATGCCCCTCTCCACCTTTCCCCCACCAGGGCACTAAGGCACAATACCTGGCAGCCAAGGCCCTGAAGAAGCAATCGTGGCGATTCCATACCAAGTACATGATGTGGTTCCAGAGGCATGAGGAGCCCAAGACCATCACGGATGAGTTCGAGCAGGTGAGGGCCCTGCCCCCTCTGGTCCCACTGGTAGGGTCAGGGTAGAGACCCTGGGCTCCCGGCAGCCCCTGCGGGCCTCTGCTCCCCTCACCTCCACCCTTCCTTCGGCCGGCTTAGTCCCGCAGGCTGTTCACTCTGCCCGGGATACTGCCCTCCTATTCCACTTGGCTCCTAGTCCTCCTCCTCTAGGTCTTAGCCCCAATGTCCCTTCCTCAGAGAAGCCTGTTTGGACTCTCCCGGTCTGGTGCTCCCACCTCACGATGCTCAGCACTCCGAGTTGAGTGTGTCAGATTTTCTCACTGGCTCGTCTCTGCGCCAGGCTGTGGGTTCTACTGCGTAGGGACCTCAATGGCCCCTTCGCCTCCATGTCCCGGCCCCCAGCAGAGCAGGGGCTCAGCACATGCTCAGTGGGGAAGTTCTATTTTTAAATGGCCTTCACATATTCTAATAATCGATTGGAAACTCCCGCTTCTTGCAAACACTCTGGAGCCGGCCTACCTGGGTTTGAGCCCAGCTCTAGCTGGGTGACCTTGGGCAAGTCACTTGAACCTCTTTGTCTCAATTTTCTTATCTGTAAAAATGGGGGTGAGAGAACCTACTTTATGCAGTTGTTATGAAGATTAAATGAGTTAATAACATGTAAGTACTTAATGGTGCCTGCTACATAGTAAGCGTCATGGATTTATGTTTTCTTTTTTCAAATTACTTTCAGTTGGTGTGTTCCACAGTGACTTTTTCCCACTAACTATTTCCCTGATGCCAAGCCCCCTCACGGGATGGAGTATTATAAGGTCCTTGTCCTCAGAGAACTCAGTCCCCTCCCCCAGTTCTCCCAGGCTGCCGTTCTCTGAAGCATTTCAGACTCACTCAGAACCCAGCTCCTCTCCCACTGTGTCCTCAGACATTAACTACAGACTTCTCCGGCCACATCCTGATTTGGCCCCAAACCATCCTCCAATTATACATTTCAGGGCATCCAGTCATTCAGAAAATCCCACATCACTACTGTCACCAATAAAATGTCCCTGCAGAGTGCTTGGATCTAGACTCTGAGCCTGTTCCATTCTCCAGGATGAGGGTGTCGGCACCCATTGCCTCAAGGTTTTTGTGAAGACTAAATGCTAGGCCGTGCGTCCTGTACTCGGCACGAGCGAGCGTCCTGTGCTCAAAAGCTGCAGCCGTCAAGAAAGCCGTGGAATGCTTTGCAGACACACCTGGCCTTGGGCATAGCCTCTCTGCGGCTCCCTCCATGTCCTCCCCTCTAAAGCGGGCACGATGCCGTTTGCTACCTGAGAAGAGCGTTGTGAGGGTGGCAGGAGAGCGTGTGCGTGTAGGGCAGTCAGCCCAGTGCCCGGCACATCCACGACCCTAAGAACTGTCCCCTTTGTCTGTCGGTCCGGCCCAGATCCCAGACCACCTCGTCCACTCACTGACCGCCTTCTCCCCCGGCCAGGGCACCTACATCTACTTTGACTACGAGAAGTGGGGCCAGCGGAAGAAGGAAGGCTTCACCTTTGAGTACCGCTACCTGGAGGACCGGGACCTCCAGTGACACCGGCCCCTCCTTCCACCCAATCCCTCCCCCCGCATGCTGATCCCCCTGCCCAGGTGAGGGCCCTGCCCTGGAAGACTGGGGGAGGCCCCAAGCCATGGGGCATCCCCCTCTCCCAGGAAGTAGGGAGGGGGCTGGGAGCCTTTCTCTTCCTCTCAGCCCCCCCCGGGGGGCCCGGGGGCGAGGGCTGCCCCCTCCTCCCCTCCCCAGTGAGGGACATTTTTTGGTAAACCTATTTTCATTTTGGAAAATATTTATGAATAAATAGTTTTATATGACGGCTGGCAGCAGCGGCCTCTCCTGTACCCCCTCAGGAGTCAGTGAGCAAGGTGGGGGTCTTGTCGTCGGGGGCGCCGGGCCAGCTGGGGGTTGAACTGGGAGTTGTACCGCCGCCGGCGGTCATCTGTCTCTTCCATCTCCGGCTGACCCTCTCGTGGTGCCCGGCCTTGGACCCGGGCCAGCAAGGCTTCGGCCCGAGCCCGCTCAGCTGCTTCCCTCTGGAGACGTTCAGCTCGAAGCTGGTCCAGGGATGGGGTTCTGTGGGGAATGGAGTCAGGTCAGAAAGCTGGTGGCTCCTAGGAGGCCCCTCCCCTAACCTCTTCCGTAGAGCGAGCTGCCACCTGGAACCCCCTGCCTGCATCTAACATGTTCCCAGCCTGAGCTCTTGAGGCCTGCTGGAAGGAAGCCATCTGGTGCTGGGATGCCGTGGGCAAGCATCTGGGCCTTCCGTCCTGTGGGCTCTGCCCCAGTCTTCAGTCAGGTGCCCCTTGAGATCAAGAAAGCATACTGAGCAACACCCTGGCCCTCTCTGGGCCTCAGTTTCTCCTCTAGAAAAAAGGAGACTCTTCGATGTACGCCCTCTACACTCAGAAGCATAGCATCCTAGGGACATAAACCTTTTACTGTCTAACCCCGGTGGTTTTCAAACTCTTTGGTTTCAGGACCCCTTTATACTCTTTTGAGGACCCCAAAGAGCTGTTCTTTAAATAGGTTGTATCTGTTAACATATAGCAAATTAGAAAAGAAAACTGAGGAGTCTTCACGCAAGCATCTGTGCCATTATTAGCCTTGAGAACAGTGGTGTCTTCTCAGTCAAATAGCCTCTGGAACCTGCACTGCACCCTTCAGAACCAGCGTGAAAAAAGGGAAACGGTGTTACGAAAATAGGCTCAACTCTGTAGACCCCCTTCTCTACCCACCCAGGCCCTGGCTGAGTCCCCGCCTGTCCCGACCAGAGCTGCTGTGGTGCCCTGGAGGTCTGGGCCTTGGTCAGTTCTGGGGCTGGGTCTTCTTACTGCCTGGGCCGCTGCTTCTCAGACCCCTCCTTCTTTTCCTTTCTGCTGTGAATGCCTTCATCACCACTGGGCCTTCTCTTCTTCCCCAGATGCTTCTGCATCTCCCGCAGAGGGTCCAGGCGGCTCTTGATCTTCTCATCTGGGCCTGGGCCAGGTGAGGGGCCTCCTCTTCCTGGGGGGAGCTGGTACCAAGGGGGCTGAGTCTGGGCCTCCGCTGCACTCTGGCCCAGGTATGTCAGGATGCCCAGAGCTTTCTCCTGCCTTTCCTGAGGGGGCCAGAAAGTACAAGAGACGGTATATAGTCATTTTCGTGTATCAACTGTGTCTCCCTTCAGAATCCCTGGATGTGATAACAGGGAAACCTGGGGTGCTCTGCCCTGAGAGCCTCTGGTCCTGGGAGGTAGAACCAGTCATTCAACAAACTGGCATCAAAGGCCTGTCCTGAACCAACTATGCCAGGTGCTGGGGGAGTAGCAGACCTAGGGCAGGCTGAGCTCCTGCCCTGGGCGACAATTGCAGGTGCAGTAACAGCACAGGAAAGGGATGATGAGGAGGAGCTACTTCAGAGTTCAAAGGCAGGTACTTTGGGGGAGATACTCGAAGAAAATCCTGAAGGAAGCAAGCCAAGCAGAGGAGTGATGGTGGGGGTTGGGTATTAAGTTCAGAGTTTGATGGGAAATCCCAGAGCGAGTGAGTGACAGGATCTGATTGACGTTTCATAAAGCTCCTTAACACTTCTCAAATCCCTGTAGGGTTCTGACATTAGGTTGGAGACGCCTGCAGTTTGAAGACCTGAAAGGTCTACCTGAGCAGTCCCATAGCTGGGGGCCTCCAGCTTCCACTTCCAAGCCCTGTGGGTGCCCAGATGGCAGTAACCAACACTTGAATGCTACGCTTTGGTACTGTTTCAAATTCTCTATGTCCCTATACTCCTTAGTCTTACTTCGATGGCTAAAGTGCCCCTGTCCCTGGCTCTATTCGTGACTCCTCTGATGAAGTGGATGACACCAACTTACTTTCTCTTGTCGCTTTTCTTCCTCGTACTCTTTATTGCCTCTGGTCACCCCTTTCCCTTCCTCCAGCAGCTCCCGAAACAGGTCCACAGGGCCAGAACTTGGGGCTCCTGCTTCGAGCTCAGGCAGCGAATTCTGATGTCTGGCTTTCTTCCGTAGGAATTCTGTGCGGGCCTGAGGGGAAAGGAAATTATAGTCAGGACGTACAGAACCTAGAGGTGATTCAAGGAACTGTGAGCCTGGTGCTGACCATAGACAATGGCAGCCCATGGTGCCGGGGGCTGTAAGAAAGGGAGCATGGGGCACTGTGGGAGCCCAGAAGTGTCACCTGTCCTAGCCTGGGATGAGAATGGGCACATGAAGCAACGCCTCGGTTTTGTAAACTGCCTTTCAAATAGTAAACCATGGGTCATCAAGGCTGGTTGGGAGGAGATCCCTGGCGTAGATCCCTGGCGTAAACCAGAGGGGATCCCAACCTATAAAGGCAGTTAAACCATGCATTGGACCAAGCATCTGGACTCCAGGCATGGCTACCAAGTCACTACCCCAAGTCGATTAGCAATTTCTACTGATAAACGTGAATTTTAAAAGCTTAGACTACCTCTCAGCTACTGTTGAGGATCAGATTAGCTAAGGAACTGAAAGGTTTCAACCACATTAAGGCGCTAGGCAGAAATACTCTGGCCTTTGTGTGTTTCTGGGGGTCAATGCGGGGAAAGAGCTCGCCCGATGGTGTGGAACCTGGCTTGTCCCACTGACTTCTTCCCCGTGCCTTCCTCACTTCTCTGTGCAATGCAGATGGCAGCGCCCCTCCAAGAACGAATGGTCCTTATGAGGGATTTCGCAAGTCAGGCGCTCTGCACGAAGTGAGCATATAGTAGGTGCTCAATAAATAGATTTTGCAAGCAAACTAAAAAGTGATCATTTCCTTGAAATGAACCGTCCAAAGGGTCATTTATTAATTTACGAATATTAAGCTCCTCCTCTGTGCAAAGCACTGCTCTTGTCACTTGAAATACATCACTGGGGGAAATCAGGACGAGGGTGAGATCAAGGGAAGTTTCCTGGAGGTGGGCACAGGGCTAGCAAACAAAACGTCCCTCAAACTAGGGTCAGCGCCCGACACCGACCACCACACGGGGCGCACTGTGCCTGCGCACGACTCCACTTCCGGTTTTGCCGGTGGCGCCTGCGCGATTGGCCTCGGGAGCTCCGCCCGGCCTGCCACGCAGCTTACCTCTTGCTCAGCGAGCAGCACCCTCCGCTCACGCTCTTTCTCCTCCTCCCGGGCCTGGGCCTCATCACGCCGCACGCGGGCGACATTGTCCTTGTTGCGGACATGCCAGCTTTTCTTGGGCAAAATATTCATGGCGCCGTAGCTGTCCACGGACTGGCACGCCCGCCTCCTAGCACTTCCGATTGGCGAGAGGATGCTCCCTCCGCGTTTTCCCTGTCTCGGCCACAGATTGGTCCCCGACCAATGGCACGCCCTCTGGGTCTATAGCGACAGGCGATTGGCTGAGGTGCCCTCCATCACAGCGAATCCCCGACGTTCTGCGTGTGGTATCGCCTAGCGACCGCCTCTTATCAGAGTTTGAGGCAATCACAAGTGGTCCCGCCCCTGATGCTACCAGATGTGGCTGCCGATTGGCTGTCACGCCCGTCAAGTCTTCTCACGGAAGAACCCTCCAGCTCCGCACCGACGCGCTTGCGGATACGTTTGACTGGCTCATGCCCTGCTGAAGCCCTGCCCCCGCCTTCAGGACACAGATTTCAAAGAGCGCTCAGCGACCTCGGCTGTATTTATTGATACAAGAAAGAGGTTCACTACAGTCAGGGACTGGGCGGCGAGGGGCCTTCTGCAATTCTAGTTTACAGATGAAGTAACCGAGGTTTACAAAGGGTCTGGAGGCACGTCTGGGGTCTAAAAGTGGAACGTGATCCTGAGCCAGGCTGGGGACGTCAAAGAGCCCCGTTGGTCGAGCTCAGCGCCACAGCACGCTGTGCCAGGAAAACTTTATTCTGTGCCTCCTAAGGTAAAGAGAGGTGGAGGTGAGAAAGACCTTCTCTCCCCCATGTCCCTTCCTACGTCCCCCAGGACCCTTTTCAGGGACCCGGCCTGGCTCACCGTCTCTATCTGACGTTTGAGCTCAGAGACGAGGCGTCCATAGGAGTTAGCCAGAGCCACAGTGTACGCCATCAGGATGCTAGAGGAAGAGGAATGGAAGCAACTCTGAAATGCTCTTCAATTATCTTCAACGTATGGCTCCTTAGAAACCAGGGATGTGGACCCCTAAACCCCCTCCTCCTTGAGACTCAAGAAGTTCAGTACCCCAGCTCACTCCTCCCTCCTTCAGATTCAGGAGTCCTAATTCCCGCCCTCTTCCTCCTTTAGGCCTAGCAGTCCGGAGCCCCAGCCGCCCTCCTCTCTCAGACCCAGGAGTTCAGGCCCCCAGTCCCCTGCTCACTCGGACACAGGTGGTGGGGCCCCCAGGTCACATACATTCAAACTCACACCCGAAGTTTGGGCTACCTCACCTGGAGATCAGCAGAAGAGGCACAGCAAAAGCCTGGGTTCCCAGGAAGAAGAGAAAGTTCTGGGTGGTCTGAGGGAGGCTGGAAATAGACTCTGGGATCTGGGCCCAGATGGATGGCTGTCCCCGGAATGGACCACACGGCTTAGAAGGTGGGATCCTGAAGTCAGAGACAGCTGAGCTCAAGGAGGGCCAGGAATCTTAACACTGAATGAGGGCAGAGGGAGGGAGAGAGGCAGGAGCCTCTCACACTTACAGGAAGATGCTATAAAGCACGGGAACCGCAGAGACGGCCAGACCCAAGAGAAGGACCAAGGGGAAAAAGAAATTCACTGTGGAGGCCCGGAAGGTGCGGGAGGCCGGGGAGCAGATGGAGAAGAGGGTGAGCTGGTGGGGGAAGGCAAGGAAAAAGGGGATCTGAGACAAAAGAATCTGAGCCTCTTCTTTTTCCTGATCCGGGAGTCTTGGCCCCCTCCTCATTCAGGACCCAGGAGACTACTAAGTCCCCCATCCCTCAGATCAAAAAGTTGAGATAACCTAGACCCCTCCTCCCAGATCCAGAAGCCTGTCCTCCTGTCCCCTCCTTTCTTAGGACCTAGCAGTCTGGGCCCCCAGCATCCTCCTTCCCCAGGATCTAGGAGTCCAGTCCTCAATACCTCCTGCTTCAGACCAAGGGTCCCCTCTACCCCTCACCTTCTTCAGGTAGAAAAGTAGCAGGAACTTGGCTGTGTTAAGCAGCGGCAGTAAAGGGCAGAAGAAACTGCCCACCCAGACCACCGTCTGTGAGTAGATGAGTCCCAGCACCTCGTCCGGTACCTGGAACTCCTGGGTCCCCGCCAGACGACCCAGCGCCCCAGGACAGAGGCCACAGAGAAGCCTGAAGGGCGGGGCCCGGCAGAATCAGGGGCTAGCCGGCACGGAGTTTCCCCGCCTCCACTGTCCCGACCACCAATCGGAAGGGAGGCCATCTGGGACGGGGCGGGGCTTTCAAGATTCCACGTGGAGATGGAGGGGGTGTGTCCAGAGGGCAGGTCCTGAGGACCAGAGGGATCCCTGCGGTAGGGGCGGGGTCAGAGGGAAGTAACCCCCTAAAATGGGTTGGGGGCGGGGTCCGCGGACTTAGGGCAAGGAAAGGGAGCAGTCAGAGGCGGCAATAGCAAAAAGGGGCGGGGTAGAAGGAAGAGAATGGCTGGAAGGGGTGGGGCCTGTTCCAGTAGGGGCGGGACCGCAGCGAGGGGCGGGACCGCAGCGAGGGGCGGGGCTCTCACTTGCGAGGAAACTGGATGAGTAACATGACTGCCAAGCTAGTCAGCAGATCAAAAAGCAGAAGCTTGTACATCTCCTGGCCAACCCGAGTCTCCCAGCACTGAAGAAGGAAGAAAAAGGTCAGAAAGACCTCAGGACCCAGGCACCTGGAGGTTCAAGCGTCAGAGTCTCCAAATCACAAGCCTATGCGATCCTGGGGGCCCTTGTGTTTTCAAGCATTCATACCTCTAGGAGAGTATTCCAGCACCCCTAGCTCCTCCTTCCTCCTAAACCAGGAGTCTGGACCCACACAGCCACATCTTTCCATCAGAGACACAGGATTTGGAGCCCAATATCGTCCCACCTAAGAACTCGGGAGTCCCACCCCCACCCCCACTCACCGGAAGCTCTTCGTAATTGTAGCCACAAGTTTGGCACTCTTCAGCCTCAGCGTCGCCCCCGCAAGTGATCTGATTCCAGAGAGAGAAGAGCAGGACCACCAGGGAGGCGAGGCGGAGAAACACAGTCCTGGCAAGGGGAAGGCGGAGGAAGAGAATCAGCACTGACCCAGTACCCACCACTTGTCAGTTCCCTCCTCAGTGGGACGCACTCACGATTCTGCACATTTCACAGACGAAGAAACTAAGGCTCAGTGACAGAGTCAGGATTTCAATCCAGATCTTCCTAGATCCCATTTCCGCGGGATTTACACGTCTTATTTACCAGAACCAACGTTCCCCGGGCCGTCTCTCCCCTCCCCACCGCGCATCATCCCCGGCCCACCCCATGAGGCTGGAACCTGAGCAGGATAAAAACGATCTGGCGGCTCCGAGTGTAGCCCTCCAGTGGGGCAATGAGGGTGAACACGGGCGGCAGCACGAAGTTGACCCCGGAGATGAAGATGGACGGAAGGTAATTCACCACCAGCTGTAACAGTGGCGTCTGCTGGACAAGGGACGTCCCCTGGGAGGGAGGATGAACCAAGAGAAGAGGCTCTGGGATCCTGGAGGCAGGAGCCCGAAGTCCGGGGTCAAACATACCCCCCACACTTCCTCTCTAGCATCCCAGGAATCCTAGACTTCCATCTCCTCTCTGTCCCCTTGGAAATGTAGTTTCCAAGACCCCCAGACCCTCCTCTCCCAAGACCCTCCGCACCTGCAGCTCCACGGTGTACCCCGTAGCCCAGTAGATGCCATAGAAGGCTGCCCCCAGGAGCGCGACCACCAGCAGGTTGACCAGCACCCGCACCAACCAAACCCTGACGTGCTGGCCCAGGGTCCGCACCGCAGCCTGGCGCCGCACCGTTGCTTCCTCCAGCTCCACCTGCAGCCGGGAGAGATGTCCACTGGGGCTCCATTCCCCGAGGCCCGGGCCGCTCCACAGCTCCTCAACTTAAACTGACGTAGCACTCGCTCCACCCGATAACGACCTCTGCAGTGCTTGTTCCACCCTCTGCGGGGCCCGGGGAGAGACCCAGGCCCCCTTACGGCCCCGCCCATGGTCACAAGCCCCACCCCTCGGCCAATCCCGGCACGCCAGGCCCGTGGCCCCGCCCATCACTCCAAGACCCGCCCCTTTCCAGCCCCGCCCCGTGACCCCGCTCTACTTCGCGCAAGGCCTGGAGTAAGTCCCGCTCCTTTGTGGCCACGCCCATCGCTTAACTTTGAACCAAGGTGCCTTAGGCCCCGCCCCTTTCTTGCTGCTTACTTTTTCCTGCATCCTTGGACCCCAGGCATCCCTATTATGGCCTCCTCTCAACCCTCTCATTCCCCAACACCCGCCTCCCTTAGGAGGAAGCTCCGCCCAGCGTCTGTCCCGAATCCCCGTCGCTGTGCCAGGCCCTGTGTGATATCCCAGCCTGGTCCTGTCTGGCCCCTATCCAGTTGTAGACCCCGCCCCGCAAGCGAACCTGCAACTCATACAGGATGATGCGCTGGCGCAGTCGCACGTGGACGTCCCCGCAGAGGCCAAAGTCCCAGGCTGAGAACACCCGGTGGCTGTAGCTGGTCAGAGCCCCCGACTCGGCCAACAGTGTTTGCTTCAGCCCGGACACTGAGCTGAGAGAAGGGAGACCCGGGAGACTGGGTATAGGGAAGGACAGCCATGAGCGGGGAGGCGGGGGACACCCCGTCTTACGGACAAACAAGGAAAATGAGCCCAAAGACCTTTGGCATTTGGTGAGCTGCCACCTGATGGAGGAGTGAAAGAGGCGGAGACGCAGTTATTGGAGGCAAAGGCCAGGAGATTCACAGATAGACGCTAGACGCGGGGAGCGCATGTCCCAAACAGAAACCTAGGAGATGGGGACAGAGCTCCAGAGAGAAGGGGGCAGGAACCCAGAGTGACAGGGACAGAGGCCCTGGGGAGACACAGAGACCCCAAAAAGAGATTTAGAGAAAGAGAAACAAAGGCTCAGTGAGAAAGGAGAAAATAATTCTAGAATGGGGAAGGAGGCGTCAAAGATTCAGAGTGAAGGACGGATATCCAGAGAAGGTGGTGGAGGGAGAAAGGCTCAGAGAGAGGAGGACAGAGACCCAGGAAGGAGACAGAGACCCAGAGAAGGGTCAGTAAAGAGACTCAAAAGAGAGGGGCAAAAACCCAGGGAGGGGATAGAGGACCAGAGAAAGGGGCAGA